ACATAGAAATATTTTCTTAAATATAGAAATATTTTCTACAAAATAAAAATGAACATAGGAAACATTTTCTAAAATGACCATAAAATTGTTCTAACCCTGTCCGAGTAGCCTAGGGGTTAGAACGTCTGACCAGAAATCTTAGCACCGCAAGTTCAATTTCAGCTGCCGAAATTTTTTTTTTTATTTGTGTTATAAACACAGATGAGAAGTAATGCTTAGAACGACTAAAGGTTTTACCCTTTATTGAAAAGTAATTAAAATATTTTTTGTCATATGAAATATCATCTTAGAAAATTTATTTTAAACATTTCGATTTTCACAGTTCCGACTTAACGAGTTATAAAAACTTTTTTAAACTAATATTTTTCGCAAACGCCCCATCATGTAGTCTTTGGTTTGCCGTGCGTTCCTCGCGCGTGACCGTGACTCCATTCAATGTCTTTGAACTCACGCTCGGGAGACCTGTGTTCGAATCCCACCGACGGACAAATAAAATTATAATTTTTTTCGGATAAGATACTTATTGGATTTTACTTGTAAGAACTGAAATAAATCATAATTGTACTCAATTTCTCTCTCTCTCTTCCCCACAGAATTACAGTTGAAATCGATATTTGCAATTCGTTAGTGCAATACTAATACAAACTTTGTGACTTTTTACACTTACATAAATATACATAAGTCCTGATTTAAAAATGACATCATGTAGGCACATTTTTTCTAATTTTTAGAAAAAATACCCTAAAATTTATGGTTAGATGCCCTACTTTTAAGAAATATTTTTCTATTAATTAGAAAAGTTTTTCTTGTTTTTAGGGCCTTTTGCCTTAGATTTTAGAAAAGAACGCCCTTAATTTTAGAAAAATGTACCCTAAAATTTAAGGTGCGATGCCTTTGAAGACAAAAATGAGGAGAATTTCTTGTTTTCAGTTATTAACAGTCAACCGACGATTTTTGAGCACTAATTCCTTCACTTCATTGACGTCTTGGTCATCTGCTGACGTCGATGGTCGTCCGGAGCGCTCCAAGTCATCGACACGTTCCCGACCCTCTTTGAAGTCTTTGTACCACTTAAAAACATTTTTCTGGGACATGGTAGAATCGCCAAAGGCCTTTCGGAACATCCTCATCGTTTCCGCATCCGAAATTTCATTCCGCAAACAAAATTTGATGGCACTTCTCTGCTCAATTAAATCAGACATTGTAAAAATCGAAAAATGCACTCTTGCACTATTTAGTGTTCAGCCCGCGAATTTTAAATTGAAAATTCACCTTACTTTTTGCCCACAGTAGTACTCCAGAGGGTATTATAATTTCAGTAAAAAATTTGAAACGCAGAAAAAGAGACATTTCCTACCCTATAAAGTATATATATTCTTGATCAGCATCACCAGGAGAGTCGATCTAGCCATGTCCGTCCGTTTCTACGTAAACTAGTCCTTCAGTTTTTAAGCTATCTGTCTGAAACTTTCCCAAAAGTTTCATTTTTATTGCAGGTAGTCGGAACGAGCCGGATCAGATGACTATATCATACGGCTCTCATAAAAACAATCGGAAAAAATTTTTTAAAAAATATAACTTTGTTGTTATACCCTTGCAGAGGGTATTACAATTTTAGTAAAAAGATTGCAACGCAGTGAAGGAGACATTTCCGACCCTATAAAGTATATATATTCTTGATCAGTATCACCAAGAGAGTCGATCTAGCCATGTCAATCTGTTCGTTTCTACGCAAACTAGTCCCTCAGTTTTAAAGCTATCTGCTTGAAACTTTCCTAAAAGTTGTCTTTCTATTGGATCGGTCGACTATATAATATAGCTCCCATAGGAACAATCGGAAAAAAGTATTTAAAAAAATTATAACCTTGTTGTTTTTAATTATTTTTTTTGTTCTTTGGGGTTTGGTAATATTTAAATATTATGGAATTACGGTTTTAATTAAATAAAATCGGACAACAATATCATATAGCTGCCATAGAAACGATGGCAAAATGCTGCGCAAAATCGACATAGCTTTATTGTTTTTAGTAATAGAGGCATAGAAATCGAAATGAGAGAGATGAAAATTTTTCTGCGTGAATTTTCCAATCTTATTGGCTTAACAGTAAGAGTTCGCGCACCTAAAATAGTGTAATGACCCAGATCGGAAGAACTATAGAATACAAAAAGGACTATCAAAATTGGGAAGTTATTTCCAACGAACGCTTATTCGCCGAAAAGAAAAAAGCGTAATTGCTAACACACATTTGAGTTTGTAAAAAATTTATTTGGTAGCGACAATTTGACTAACAGACATTTGGACCAACAGAAATGACTGAAAAACTAACGGAGCACTTCAAGCAGAAGCGTCTTGTTGTTGCTGATCAATATAAATTTTTCAAACGTGAGATGCGGGACTCTTAAAGACAAGGAATGTGTCGCCGATCTACGTGCTATTGCTCATGAGTGTGTTTTAACAACGCAAAACTTGAATGTGCATACATTTGGCCAACAAAAAATCACTGTACTGGGTGAACTGAACACTGGCATAAAATTTGCAAATGTAGTGTTAATCGTGGCTAATGTACAGAATTCAAACAATCTGTTCGGCTTAGATTTGTTTATTTAAGACGTTTAATTTGACAAATTTCTACCGCTAATTTGAGCAGCGAACTCCAAAGACGGATCTTCTAGAAAGGTAGATGGAAGTATTTGAGCCATCAATCAGTACAATAAAAAACTTTACGGCAAGTATTTACCTAAAACATAATTCCGTACCAATATTCTACAAAAGCAGTAAAATTCCGTTTGCCCAATTGGAATTCAGCGTCTCTCAAAAGCATGTATTAGCAACTGGGCATCGCCAATATCATTAACACCAAAGACAAGTGAAGCACTGTGAATTTGTGGAGATTTCAAGCAAGTTGACAATTCCCAATTGGACATTGAGTAATATCTTTTGCCTGCTGTAAGTGTTTGTTAGATAAAATTTGTCATGGCACACAATTTTCCAAAATTTACCTGAAAGTCGCTTATTTACAAATGGAGTTAGACGAAGCAGCGAAAGAAATTATGGTTGTCAGTAAACATGGCCTTGGGTATTTTTCATTAGCAACGTTTACAATGTGAATAAACAAATTCAAAGAAAAATTTTTCCTCAGAATTTAATTTATAGACATTAAAAAAATATGTGGATCCACTTTGTAGATAATTAATTAAGCAAAAACAAGGTTAATTTTTATACCCTTGCAGAGGGTATTATAATTTTGGTCAAAAGTGTGCAACGCAGTGAAGGAGACATCTCCGACCCTATAAAGTATATATATTCTTGATCAGGATCACCTCCTGAGTTGATATAGCCATGTCCGTCTGTCCGTCTGTCTGTCCGTCTGTCTGTTTCTACGCGAACTAGTCTCTCAGTTTTAAAGATATCGAATTCAAACTTTGCACACACCCTTCTTTCCTTTGCACGCAGTATATAAGTCGGAACGACCGGGATCGGCCGACTATATCCTATAGCTGCCATATAACTGATTAATCGGAAATGCCATAACTCTGCTGTTTGTTAAGTTAGGAAGTTGGGACTTTCTATGGGTTTTATATTTGGCCAATCAATACGACGTACCAAATTTCATAAGGATCGGCCGACTATATCCTATAGCTGCTATATAACTGATTGATCGGAAATGCCATAACTTTGGTGTTTGTAAAGTTAGAAAGTTGGGATTTTCTATGGGTTTTATTTTTGCCCAATCAATCCGACATATCAAATTTCATAAGGATCGGCCGACTATATTCTATAGCTGCCATATAACTGAACGATTGGAAATGCCATAACTTTGGTGTTTTTAAAGTTAGGAAGTTGGGATTTTTTATGAGTATTAAGAATGCATCATATGAATAATTTTGGAGAATATAATTTGCAGAATATTCTGCAAGGGTATTTCAACTTCGGCTCCGCCCGAAGTTAGCTTTCCTTTCTTGTTACGTTTCAAATCCGCAGCAAGAGTTTCATTAAAAATTTGTTTAATTTAAAAGAGTAAATTGAATAATTTTGTCATACAAATTGATTAGTGTGAAGTGTTAACACTAATTAACTTGTATGAAAAAATGTCATTCAGTATTAGCAAACGAGTAGAAAGTGATGAATTTTTTAATTAAAAGGTCCTTAGAACATTGATCTGGCATAAAAACAAATTGGCCCAAAACTCAAAAAAAATAACCAATAATGGTCGTTGTACTTGGCTCCTCTTCCGCAGTATAATTTATTTTAATTTCGAAAAACTGCATCATAGAGCTGCAAAATTGTTTTTCCTTGTATTAATCGAGAAACAATGTTTTTACAATTTCATCGATACCGTTCTTAATTTTAAGAAAGAATCGGAAATCGGTATCACATAATTTAGTCGTTTTATAAAGAAATAAAATGTTTATAAAAGCTGCAAGTTTGATTCATTTTCTTTTATTTAATTAATTATATTTTTAGTGCAACTCTTCTTTTAAAGTCCCTTTATATCAAACATTCTGCAAATTACATTTTACATGATATGACGAAAAAAATCATATTAAATGATGTATAACAAAGCTAAAAGCCAATATTTATACTTGAAAACATAAAAAGTAAAAAAATATTTCTTGCAATAATAATAAACTTTTTATAAACGTTTATAAACGCCACCAAGGGTGGCGTTAATGATTAATCTCGAAACTCTTCACCCACAAAATTTGTGTGCAGCCATTAAAAATGTGAATCTAACAAAAAAGAGTTGGAATGGGAAACATTTTTATTTATCTCCTTGTCAATCCTTTTAAATTAAAGTACTGACGAGAATGTATTAATATTGTAATGTCACCATCGATACCATTTTTTGTCCATGGCACCTTAAAATGGTTTTAATCTTATTATTTTAAAAGCTTAAACTTTGCATGAATCAAATTAAAAGCCAACTTTAATAAAAACATCCAATATATAATATAAATATATTTAATATTTGTTAATGAAAATTTGTATTTAATTGTAGGTGTTCCAGCTATGGCAGGTAGTGCTATAATAGGAGGCGTACTCTTGGCTCTTATTGAAGGTGTTGGAATATTATTTACTAGAATATCTGCCGATCAGTTCAGAAATCCGGTACCTCCAGCAGAAGACCCTGCGGCTCTTGGAGATTCGGGAAGTAATTTTTCGTTTGGATCCAATTCTAATCAAAAACATTATCAATAAAATAATAGCCATATAAAAAAGAAAAAAATGTGTTGTATCTTCAAAATTTTTCTTCGGATTCTTAAAGATTTGAGAAATATATTTATAATCCTTAAATGAGCTGATACACTATTTGCAAAATTATATTATCCATGTTGCAAAAGCTTTTAGCCAATCTCAAGCTATAATATTAATTTTTGACGTAAAACGTTTTTACTTAACCCTCTAAGACGCAAGCCTGCCTGAAGGCCCGAATTTTTTACCTGCGAAAAAACATATGGTTTGTGTATACCGAAAGATAAGTCCCGTTAGAATCTTCGGAGAGCTTTCAAAGCTAAGACTCATAATTTTGTGTGCTTTTTATCAACCGCTAAAAATTATTTCATCGATTGAAAAGCTTTTAGTTTATTTGTTAAGGCCAAAAACGTAATACGTGCCTTCAGGCAGGCTTTCGTCTTAGAGGGTTAAATTGGACTGAGCAAAAAAAGGAGGATTCGCCAATTAAGACTTGCTAGTTTTTGTAATCTCTCAAAGATCTTGCAGATTCTGTATGGTGAACAAATTTAGAATAACTTAAAAGGAATTCTAAAATAATCAGAATTTACGAAACCTCCCAACTAAGCCACCTCGTGCTACCCTGGATGTCGGCCAATCAGTGATCAGTGGCCGCACTAAAACCAGCAAATTTACAAATGAAAGGAATAGAAAAGCCCGGGACATCCGACAGGGGTAATTGTCAAAGAATATACACAACATGAACAACAGGCAAATAATGAAGTACATAATATTAACTGGGAAACACATTTGTGGGGCAGATCCTCGAAGTCTAAGAGGGATACCTAAATCTTCAGCTTTACCGACCAAAAAGATTTACATAATATTCGTATTGCATTTTAACGAATTTTTCCAACGGATGATAGGAATAGATATCCTACAACAAAGTAACGCAGTTCTTCTTCTATTCCAAAACTCCAGTTACAAACAATCTTCGGCAATGCAAAAATACATCAAAGACAGATTGTGGCCACGGGAATACACGTAATCGACGAGGAGTCAAAAATAATCGTCCGATTAAAAGTCACGGTCACTGATGGCACATTTTTGTGGGCTTATACGAAGCAAAAGATGGGTATAGTTCCATGGAAAGCATGAACTAATCCAACTTAAAACAAAACTTATCCCGAATAAAGATAAAAGAGTTTTAAAACTCCGATTACTTGGTAGCTATACCTACAATTAATCACATTACCGAAGAGGAAAATTACAACTCAAATGGTTTCAAACTTCTAAAGACAGTGCATCGAAACGACGAAGGAAGTGGAGAAGTAAAAAAAATATAAAGAAATTCACAAATTTATTCTACCAAGAGACAGACCATCTTACTTTCAAAGATCTTGTAAAACATGTGTGTATATTAAGTTCAATAACGAAAACCCAATTCGTTTTAGTCATAGCCATATAGAATCGGAGGAAGTAATTAGACAAATTAACGAGATGCTAGAACAAGGCGTGATCAGACATAGCCACAGACATCAAAAAAAGAAAGCAATAAAATATAAATACCGAATGTCGAACATAAATGTGGTATTATATAAGATCGGGAGAGAAAAATATCTTACAGCTCTAGATTTAGAAAGCGGTTAACATCAGATAGAAATAAGGCCCAAATACAGGGAAAAGACCGCGGGCACTTTGAATTTATTCAATTGCCATTCGGACTGACCAATGACCCAGCCACTTTTCAAAGAGAAATGCACAACGTCCTAGCTAATCTAAATGACAAATGCTGCCTACACACATGACCCACTTAGGAAGGATTTTTGAGAAGTTATCAAAGGAAAGACTCAAACTACAACCTAAGAAATCTAAGGAAATGTGGTAACGGGCGATGGCGCCCGACTTAACCCAAAGAAGATAGCAGCATTTAAAGCATTTCCTATACCAAATTAAATCCTTTCTCGGACTATTGGGATATGCAAAACTAACTAAGCCACTAACTTACAACCGACGCAAGTAATGTCGCTATAGCAGCAGTACTATCACAGGACAACGAGAGTTTCGATAAGCATGTCTCGTTCGCCAGCAGAGCCCTGTCCGACACAGAATTAAATTATTCTACTGTCGAAAAGGAAACTTTGGCGATCATTTGGGTAACTAAGTACTTTAGACCATATCTATTCTCCAAAAATTTAAGATCAGAACAGATAATAAACCAAACTCATAATTGATTTGTTGGCAATTACAACTTAACGAATATGATTATGAGGTCAAGTATGAAAAAGGGTCCAAAAATTTAATTGCAGAGGCTTTGAGTCGAGTGAATTTAGAAGTAACCATAATCTCGATTTAGGAATAGAACACATCAAAAACTCATAAGCCCCCCAAACAATATCACAGTTTTTTAACAAAAATTATGTTGGTCAAACATTAAAATATAATAGACATCCCCAACAATTAAAATATGCCTTTTAATAGTACACATCGACTTATATACTATTAATGGAAAGACAATCTTAACAATAATTGATAAACTGCATTAATACAACCAGGGCCTGCGAAACTTCAACTTCCCTAACAAGCTTATTTTCAACCAAGGAGCAGAACTTCGGAAAAATAGTCTGACATTTCTGCAATCAAAATGACATTGAGATCCATGTGACTTCCTTCCAAAAATCTTCGAGGAACTTAAATACAGAATTGTTCTTAACAAAAATAAACTCAAAAATCTTCCTGTCGAGCATGAAGATATATTAACAGAAACGCTCACAACATATAAAAATTAAATTCATTCAGCGATCAAAAATACTCCATACAGTGCTGCCAGCTTAGCTTTTTTTCCGTCAAATCTGGATTTTTCAAAGTCGAAATGCGGGAAAATGGTTCTGGAAGCAATTGGTTGGGCAATCGAAAATTTTGAAAATTTGTCTATACAAGTAAAAAAGTATCTTTTGTCGGTCGAAAATATGTCAATATGTAATATTTCGCCCGTGTATTAGGGAATAGGTGTTGTTCGTGCAAATCACGAAGGCCAATACGGCAATTTATTTCCAACTAATAATTCGGACAGACGAGAACAAAACTTGTGGACACGTTCGTTTCCAAATTGAGAGCGATCTACACAAATTTATTCAAGCTCTTCTAGAGCCATTAAATGAGTTTTAAAGTTACAATAGTGGTTCTTGCGAGTGCGAGGGAGCGAAAGCTCTTTTTAATACAAGAGCGCAAGTTCGACGTCATGAGATTTTAGGTACTAAATTTTACATTGTTTTACAAAAGTCCATCGCCACCGAATTGACTGAACATCGGCCGCGTTGACAGCATTAACATACAAATTCTTCAACTAATAGGAATAGGTGCAAGGCGGTTAATGGAGCGTTTATATAGACCCGATTTGGTTCTGACTACAGCCACGCGAACCTTCCCATCATGTCCTGGAACGACCTCTACGACTACGTCTATTATCCATAGCTGGGGGGGAACGTTGTCTTCGTGGATTGCCACCACTGTTCCGATTTGAAGATTGTCCACGCCTTTGGTCCATTTCCCTCGCTGCTGTAGGCATAGAAGATAGTCCGTCGACCAGCCGCTCCATAACCGCTGTTTGATTGCTGAGACTAGCTGCCACCTCTGCAAGTACGTGAGGTTGCCGTTTGCCTTTGGCTGCGCGGATGGGGGCGGCAGCGTTGCTAGCGTTGTGCCTACTAGCAGATGAGCTGGCGTGACAACCACTCCCTTTGTTGGGACTGCCCCTGTCTACGATGAGCGGCCGCGAATTTAGGACGGCTTCCACCTCGACTATGACGGTATGGAGCTCGTCCTCCTTCAGAATAGCGCTGCCCATAGCCTTGAGAAGAAGAAGGCCTATTTTACGGCCGCCTCCCAAAGGCCGCCTATATGTGGCGCTCTGGGAAGGATGAATTCGATGGTGAATCGGTGGGCCGCAGCATTCGACATGATGCTCTGGTCGTTGGTGTCGACAGGTTCGAAAAGTTCCTTCAGGATTCGGGCAGCTCCCACAAAATTCGTGGCGTTGTCGCAATAAAGATTGACAACAGGACCACGACGACCCACAAACCTGGATAAGCATAAAATAAATGTATTAGACGTCAAATCTTTCACAATTTCCAAATGTACAGCCTTGGAAGCAAAGCAGACAAACACTGCTATGTACATCTTGATTGGCTGCTTTCCCCGAATTCCAAGTGAGACTTTAACAGGGCCAAAGAGATCCACTCCGCTTACTTCAAAGGGTCTATTTCCATGCAATCGATCTCTTGGTAAATTACCCATTATCTGTGATAGAAGTTTTGGTTTATAGTGAAAACAATGAACGCACTGCCGTCCAATGGTACTGCACTCGCGACGTGCGTTAATAAGCCAAATCACTTGTCTGAGAGGCCCAACCAACGACCGCGGACCCGCGTGACAGTTGGTTTTATGTAAGTGTCTCAAGTATAGGGTCACAAATTAGCAATTTTTAGGCATTAACAATGGGAATTTAGCGTTGTGAGCAATAAAGAGTATGACGACGTTCCACACTGTTCAACAGATAGAAAAGGATTTAATTTTTGAGTTCCAGCACGGATATTAGCGGATTTTTCTGGTTTTACAATTTCTTCAGCAAATGCCGTCTTTTGAATAGCTTCAACTACTTTAAGAAACGCTGTTCCAAGCTCGTCCGCTGACGGACAAATTGAATTCCAAGATATCTTTTTTCTTCGGTTGATAAATCGATACATATAAGCACTAACCATACAACATATAGACTGGTTATTTCATACAACGAATTTGGTCACAAAATTTTTCAATCGGGGGGCCCCAGTGCTGGAATCGGCAGGCCCCGACACTTCGTGTGCCTTCGGGTTTTTTCGCTCTCGTTCTAATTCTTATTTTGACGCTCGCGCTCGAGTTCGATCGTTCAGTCGCAGAGACGCGCATTTTGAAGAAGGTTGGCCTGCGCTTGAATTGGGCTTTGTATGTATGCGTGTTCATGCATTCTCATACAGGGGTGCATGTGTGCGATCATTTCATTTGGATGCAGCAAGAATATTTTGTCTTTTGCTACTTTTCAGACTTGGTACCCTAACAATATGGGCGTATTCACTATTGGGTTAATGATAAAAATAA